TTTTTTTGTGCTAATGTTGCCCTGGGAGTTTGAAAAACTTGTGGCAGACATCCGGAGCAAAAAGTCCACAACTGCAGGTGCAGTTTTTGGCCAGTGGCAGCCTCCGTCCAGTCGAACAGCAAAACTGCAGTTCCACTCCTGGCTGCGAAGCAAAACCTGTCTGCAGCAACAGGAAAACCTGCGGCTTCACATCTGGCTGCAGAGCAAAAACCTGTCTGCAGCAAAAGGAAGCCCTGCAGATTCACATCTGGCTGCAAAGCAAAAGCCTCCCACCGCTGCAGAAGGGCCTGCTGCTGGCGGTGATGTGGCTCTCCTTTCGCAATGAAGCTGCGGCTGCACTTCTGGTTGTCGTGCCAGGTTGCCTGGTCGGGTTTTCAATGGCTGTACGTTCTGTGTGATTTCCTACCAGGCACCCCTGGCAAAACCTGCACCTATGATAATATGCAAAGCAGCATGCGCCATATTCAAAAAACTTTTCGTGGGCTACAAGGTCGCTTGCACAGCAAGGGAATGCCGAATAGGGTACGAACTGTGCTGTAAACATGAAAACAAAACCTTACTCGAGCCACAAGCCGGATGAAAAAAATGCCAGGGAGAAAAGTATGAAAACTATTGCGATTACGATTACGTATTATTGTGTTTTTTGAATCTATTATTCATATCACGAATGTATCAAATAATGATATCTCTATGATGATGGCGGCTTTGTGAGATTGCACACGGGGCGACAAAAGCGATTTCATGGATTGGTGTCTTTGACTCACGCTTTTGGCTGCTCACCAGCTGAATGCTTCGGGCTTATTGCACCCAATGTTCTCGAAACCTGCGCAAAATCCTTCATATGGAAGGAACGCCACAAAAACATTGAATTCCTAATTTAAGCAAATTTAGGACACCATGGGCCAAGAAGCTTGGAAGCTTTGGACCAGACAGAGAGGGATGACGCGATGCGAATCATTCAGTGATCCGCTCTCCAATCAGGCTTCAGCCTCAGATCCGCCCATCTGCAAAGCGCCAGCTGCAATTTTAGAAATGGCATACACGGCTTTGGCCAAGTTCGATTCTGAACCAGGGCCTGGCGCCGCGACACTCTTCGACGTTCGCGCTGGCGATGATGGAGGCTGTTCAGTTCTGCAATCACTGTCTTGACCGAGAAAGGACCATTGGTCAGAGTCAGACGGGTCATTTGGCAGACTCCCCTCCTGTGCGCTGGCCAAATCAACTTGGTTTTGCCAATGCTTTCTCAAGGAAATGAGGAGCTCAGCCTTGATCACACGGGTGCCAGGTTCAAATTCGACGCCGTGCCTCCTGCATGTTGACAGCAAGTCCGCCCGGGTATGCGAGCTGATCCCAACCATAGGATTGCAAGGGTGGCGCCGGGCAGACTTCACACATTTGAGCAAGTGTGTGAGCTCAGGCGCTGTCCAACTGTTCAATTCCTGCTCTGACTCTTTCACCTGCTTTCTTTCCATCAGGAGTGCAGAAATGATCTCGCCTTTGGTCTTTGGCACTCGGTAAGAGGTGTGGTTGTAAGCAAAGGCATGTGACATGTGTCACGCACACTGCATACCTTAGACTCAACTCCCCCAATTCTTGAAAATTGAAAACCGCTTCCTCACGTCCAACAAATTGAAACCTCGTTTCCTTCAAAGAAACCATCACATCACCGACCTGCTCACAAAAAAGTTATCGCGCTGCAGTTTGACCTGACAAGTCTTGGGTCTCATGACATGCAGCAGTGCGCACACACCATGCAGATCCTAACTGCAATGCACTCAACTGCTTCGTGAAATCAACGCTCAAATTTCACAAAGATGGGGCAAGCAGCTCAGTTTGTCCAAAGAAGGCAAGAAGATTCCATCTTCTGTAGATTGAGATTTCACTGGCCAGAAATCACTCGAATTCAAAACTGGCCATTGTAGCCTCGAATCTCGGCCCGTCCTATACTGGCCTCACCCACCCTGCGGATCAGGCATTCCCCAAATGATTCCGGTGGCTGTCGGCCCCTTCGTTTCCATGGGCGTCCTCCACACCAAACTTGGAGTTCCAATCGTGAAGCTCAAGCTGCTCAAGGTAGGCCTTCTTCTCGTACCCACCACCAGAGGAATCATCAGAAAACTCTGCGTCCTCGTCCTTGCCATGGCAATCGCAGGAATCTCCTGTCAGCTCCACGCGACTCTTGCCCCTCGACATCTTGGGCTTCGGCTTCGGGGTGTTGTCAGTGTTGCCCATCTTTAGGTTGTTCGTAGCTGGGCGCTTCTTTGGCAAAGTCTTTTTTGTCGTAGTTGGTTCACTGGCATCAGCAGCAGCAGGTTTTGCCATTCGAGCGCGGACCGACGAGGAGGCTGAGGGTCGCTCTTTCATCACTTGTCTTCAAGCTTCAACAACTTGACTCAGAAAGGGCAAGAGCGCACACATAGGCTAAAGGCTGCTAGCTATCCTCCATTTCTATGGAGTCTATAGATCGATTTCTCTGCTCACATGTTGTTCTGAAACTATTTGGTTGGGATCGGGGCCTGCTTTAACTGGAGAAACGGAGCAACCACATTCCAAACAACTACTGCCTGTGTCGTGCAGCGTGCAGTTGTTAGAAGTCAACAGCAAGTGTCAACCCGTATGAGAACCATTCAGCTGCAAATTCAGAAGATTTCTGCTTGTCTGACTGCTGACTTGTGCTGCCTCGGTCTTTCCAACGCCCACTGCTTTCTCACGCAGTAGTGGCAGCTGGTACAACTGAACAGGCCTCCGAAAAAAAACGAATCAGAAACAATGACAGCGACCCAAAAGAAAGATCCACGGTGTTACACAGCTACACCGACACTGCTATGGCTATACAAACCCAAAACCCATGTCTGAAGAAAGCTGGCCTGTCAGCCATGAACGGTGAAAAACATCGGCGATCGGATTGAGATTGACTGACGGCAGAACTCAACTACAAAGCACTTCTCACGTCTCAAACCGCAGCTCTGCTAGAAGATGGTGCTCCAGTGTGGGCCAAGTAAAAGTTGTACAAAGCCTCCAAAGCACCTGAAGAACACCCAGAGCTGGAACCCACATGTGTGAAACTGTGGTCACCTTTGTCACGGTGAATCACACATATCCACTTAAAAAACAACCTGTTCTGAATGCGCGCTGACTGCGCTAGCAAAGTGGGCTTGGGAAACAACAACTTGTGGTTTGGCCAAGCCTTTGTGCGTTCCGTAGTTGCGGAGGCTGACGGAGGAGCCACGCACGAACTTCCGGTTCTCATACAAAGCCCATGTGCTATAGAAGCGATTGAAATAGATGGTGTAGCCCTTCTTCAATGGCCACCTGCGGGGTCCACAAACGGTAGTTTTTCAAAGTCTGACTCTGACTCGATTGTATTCGATGTGGTTTGGTGTGGTGTGGTGTGATATGATGTGATGCGATATGCTTTGATGACATGATATGGTATGAATGATGATTGTATGCAATGATATCATTGATATTGATACCGGATACTGGTGATCAAAAGGATGTGAGATGAAAAGGTATGTTTTACTATGGATATGCGACGTGAGAGACACCGATTCAAGAAATCACTTATCTAAAATGGGTGAAATCCCCACCTGTCACCAAGAACCTCTCTCAGCACAGAGGTATCAGTGGCTGCTTGGTGAGGTTTGTGGGAGCCCCCAGAACGAACGGAAGCTTGGCTTTGCGCATCTTCCTCCTGATCCTTCATGCCATGCCGCCTCTGGTTTGAAACGCGGTCACCTGGCTGTTCAGGACCACCATCAGGTTCCAAGTCAGACTCTTCCTCGTAAAAGTCTTGTTCATCCATCTGGCCTGCAAGGTCCTCATCGCTCAGGTTGCCGTCTGGGACCTCATTCTCCTTCTGGCTTTTAAAGAGGCTGCCTAACAACTCCACCGTCGAGGCAGAAATGCCAGGCTTCAACAAAGGAGAATCAAAAGAAAAAACGTCGCCGCCTTCTTCCGGACCCTTGTCACACGGTGGTGGCATTTCCGAATGTTTCGGACATTCTTTGATGATCTTGGTCACATGGATGCGGTCCAACCGCTCATAGAAGGACTCTACCACAAAGCAACTCCAGTCATCAGCCGTGTGCAGAAGATACAAGGCCCACTCTACCTGGTTGAACAAGCCGCAGCTGCCCAAATCTCTCAACCCTTGTTTGAGGCGCTGCAAAGTGAGCAAATGTGGCATCTTGGCACTGGCAGCGCTGTAGACATACTCAGAGTTGGCGGCTTTGGAAACAGAAGCTTTCTCTGAAATCAGCAAGGGCACGAAGAAGGTTCTTAGTGGCCTTTTGCATCCTGCAAAAACCGAACAAGTCTCGACAGTTTTCCCAAAATATGAATTTGAAGGGACAGACGAACGGACAGACAGACCCGGCAGAGTGACAGGACAGACAGCCCAGACAAACAATGACCGACCAACCGACGGACATACAAACAGAGCCAGACAGACAGAGACGGACCCAGAGACCCAGACAGACAGGCAGGCAGGTAGACAGACAGACAGACAGATAGACACAGATAGATGAGTAGATAGCCAGATAATGCCAGATATACAATAACTATAAATAGATATAGATAAATAGATAGATAGACAGATAGACAGATAGATAGATTACTGTAGTTGGGTTAGATTAGATTAGATAGATAGGTAGGTAGATTATAGATAGACTGATTGATTGGTAGAGGGGCAGAGAGGCAAAGAGACAGAGAGAATAGAGAGATAGGCAGATACGTAAGTAGACAGATAGATTTGTAGAGATAGAATGAAAGCGATAGAGATATAGGAGATAGATAGGTCACAAAGAGATAGAAGCATGGACGGCCCAATATACATATATTATATCATATATAATATATATTGTATATATATATATATAGAGCGAGAAACAGATCGATGGATCGATGGATGGATGCTGCGATGGAACGATGGATCGACAGATCGATAGATAGACAGAAAGATACGTAGGTAGATAGGCAGGTAGCAAGCTAAATACATAGATAGATAACTAAAAATAATGATAGGTAGATGAAAAGACCGACAGATAGATAGATAGATAGGTAGATAGGTACGTATGTAGGTAGTGAGGTAGACCGTTAGGCAGATAGATGGGCGGATATATAGATCGACAGATAGTTTAGAAAGTTAGATAGGCAGCAAGATAAGTAGTTAGACAGAGATGTAGAAAGCTATTTAATGGAGAGATAGAAAGACAGACAGGATAGATGGATAGATTGACGGGAGGTATTAGATTTAAATCTTAGATAGACAAAAACAAGAACACGTACTATGCGCAGTATACAGTATTGTCCACGGTCATTTACTCTAGCCTGGCCTACAGTGACTGCAGCGTACGCGACCTTCTGCGATCTTCCACGGCCAGATTCACAGCGGATGATGCAAGAGTCCCTAGGGAAAGTGGCAACAAGCTTGTTGATTTTCTTGATCTGCCCAGCATGCTCGGTCCGGCACATGCCAGGATGCTTGGCCAGGCAGTGCTGCTGGTGACTTGGTGTCTCAAGGATCTCCTGCGCTGAGGGCACACTGCGCAAAGTCTCATCAGAAATCTTGCCTGCTATGACTGCCTTGCTTGCCAGAGATGCAGCCGACATTGAATGGTAACGCACCTTACCATCAATCACTTGCTGCCTGTACTTCTGGCAGTTCATCTCGGCATCGAATTGGGCCGGACCAGCGAAGCTCTGCAAAGCATCCATGCCAGTTCGCTTTGATCGAAAAGGTGCCAAATACTGGTCCAGGTCATCGCTCTTGAGGGGCCAAGTCTCATCCACAACATTCCAAGGAGTTTGGACCGATGGTGGCCCATCATTTCTTTTGTTTTCTGCGATGCTGGCCATGCTAGCCCTCTTTCTTCTGGTCAAGCTGGAGTGCACAAACTTCCAGTGCTTTTTGGCTACAGCGTCCAGAGATCTCCAACGTTGAACCAAGTCGGACCAACCACCCCCCAAGCCAAGAGAGCGCTGTTGCGCAATGTAGTAGAACATGGGGCTACCGCTTTGCATCGGACGCTTGTGAATGACTTTTTTGACACGAGCCTTCTTGGCAGCTGCCTGCGTGTCAGAACTTGCCTTTGTCAAATCACGGCCACCTTTTGTAATGAAGTTCTTGCCCATCTCACTTATCACACCTGCGGCAGCCTGGTGCTCAAAAGAAGTCGGCATGGAAGTGTGCCCTCCAGCAGCTTTTCTTTGCACGCTGTGCTGTTGTTCTTCTTTGAGGCTCGATGGTCTGTAGTCGTCAAAAAAGTCTTTCACCAAAGTGAAAAAGAGTTTCTTCTTGTCCTCTTCATTTTCAACTGCCAACACTTGCTGCTGGACCGGAAGTGCCCAAAATGGGTCAAGACAACATGGCTTGGCTTCTGTCAGCTTCCCCAAAGCTGTGTCAAGGAGATCAGCCGGCACGTCTCCAACCGTCTCGTACTTGCAGAAAAAGCTGGCGTCAAACGGTGGCTGGAGAAAGCGGTACTGCACCCTCCATTTCAGCGCTGCAATGTTCCTCAAAATTTCATCTGCCAATTGCTCCCACATAGCACTTTTGGCTTCTGAAGATGGCCAAAATTGGATTGGAGCAGCAAACACGGACGCAGTAGCATTTTTCAAAGACAACCAAAGTCTCGCAACTGCCTTGTTGGCAGCCACCTTGATTTCAGCAAAGGTGTAGGCAACACCAGCTTCTTGTTCTGCGAAGTTCATTTTATATAAGAGGCGAATCCTGCAACGCTTGTCATGATTGGAGCGTGGTGCTGAAGCTGATTTGTCCTGCATGCCGCTCTGCGAGTCATGCAGTGCAAAAAGAAGGCGAACTATGGGCGCGATGATGTGGGCAATGGACAACGTGGTCAGCAACTGGAAGCGAGTACGCGGGTGTCGCAGAAACTTTTCTGCTCGCGTCTTCCGGCTGTTGTTGAGCTGCCGATAATGCTCGGAATCGTCCATTCCGACATCTTCCTGATTTTGCCCCCTGGCCGGTCCTTCCTGCCAGAGTTGCTTCAAACCTAGTTGGTAGGACCCTGAGGACCTTAGCCTATCCCATCTCACACCGCATCACATTCCACAATTTGAATCAACACTTCTATAATTGGTCAACGGGACATCCCTGTCACGCCTGAAGCGCGTCAATACAACGACGGGGTCTGAAAAATTGAAGACAACCGAGTGCTAATGGGATGTCACGAACCCCACCCGATAGTCCTCAAGTTGAAGCACATTTGCTCCAAAAAAGCTTTGAGCGCCGATGTTGTGAAGGGCTAGGAAAGCTCCCCACTGCAACAAACTCGGCATGACCATTTGCCAGCGGCTTGGCTGGTACAGTTGATTCCCCGCCAGGTAGAAGACATTCTCGAGCAAAGCGGCTGCCTGCAACGGCAAAGTGCCAATGGTTGAATGGTTAGACTGGACAAGAAACAAAATCAACCATGCAGGGATGCGTCCAGCATTCTGCTGCCCACATGATGGATGAACACCATCTTGCGGGCTAGTCTGTGACCGGTTGCTTTGAAGGGAGGAAACTGCCAGAGAAAAAAGCCACGTGCTGCGCTGTGCTCTAGATACATGAGCTAGACTCCCTGGGTCCGGGTCCGTTCCTGCCTTATTCACAGCGTGCTGCTTGCTGCTGCAACACTCTGGCCCCGAGCAGTAGTGAGTCAACTCCTCGCTGCGGAGGTCGCCATTAAAAAACTTGAAAAGAGAGCAAAGATGTTCCTCTTTCAGGGTCGTTGGCTCTTCGAGGTCGAAGTTCCAATATCCCACAAGTAGCTGAAGCAACAGTGATCGGAAACTCTGCTCAGATGTTGGGCCAACTGGAGGCAGGCCACGGTGATAAACAAACCGTTGACTCAGGACATCCAGCATGGCCTGCCGCGTTTTACGCCGCAGGCTGGAACTCTGATGAAGGCGAGTAATGGAGAACAAAGGTGACCTGTTGGCGCTCCAGGTTCATGGTCAAAATGCGCGCCATTTGGTGGATGAGACAGGGGGCATAGTGGCTTGTCACCAGGACATTCAAATGCTCACCCTGAGTCTTGAGCCACGACAAAAGTTTCCATGTGAGCTTGACATTTGACGAAGCAGAGTCCGCCACGATGAAAAAGTTCACGCGGCTGTAATCGTGCCCAACAGATCGCAACCATGTTTCAAAAGTCAAACCGAAGAGGTGGGTCTCGAGACCTCGCATCAGCCCGCCTGTGATTTGCTGGGCCGTTGTTCTTTCCAGCTGGACAGCTGGCAAAACGAGGGGGTGTGATTCAGTGGTGGCATTGCCACACTTCCTCGAAACTCTGCCAGTGACCACCATGCTGTGCGTATACTCATGTTGCCCAGAGGCTTTGTCGCCTCTCTGCCGAAAGCCTTTGTCACAAATATTCCTTGCAGACTCAGAGCTTTGCCAAGATGATTCACATCACTTGGATCATTGTGAATCATATCATATCCTATCTATATATCCTCTATTTATAGAGGGTTGAACGAACAGGCAACTGATCCAACTGATCATCAACCTGACAGAAAACGTAAGTCAAAACAAACAACGATAACAAGTCGGCTCTTGGTGCACCTCAGGCACCTCCACATGGTAACTACGTAACTACAAAGTAGCCGAAAATCAAATTGGGCAAGGCTTGGTTATTCCCATGGCAAGCCAAAAGTTGGCTCTTGGCCAGCCGCAGGTCAAACCGTCAAATGCACAAACACGGAGGCTGTGACTTAGAACATGACAGACTCAGACTCACAAACCTGCGCGCAAACCACTTCCACGAAACCGAACACGCAAACGCTGTCAAACGCTCGTGGTCAAAAACAAACAAACAAACAAACAAACAAACAAGCAAGCAAGCAAGCAAACCAAAAAACACAAAGCCACCGACAAACAGAGGCAGACAGGCAGACAAGCGAACGGGCAGGCAGGCAATTAGACCGGAACGAGCAGAGGAACGCACGAACAAACAAACGGAGGAACGGACGCACGCATGCACCCACCCACCCACCAACCAACCAACAAACCAACGAAGCAACCAACTGACCGACCGACGACCATCACTCCTAGCCCAAACCCTCTCTCTTCCCTAAAACAGGGCTCACGGCTTTTGGCGACAACTCCAAGGGTGGTGCCAGGCTGGGAGCACCTCAGACCTGGCACCAACCCTGGTCCCCTAAACAACCATCCATTGGGATGGTGATGGCGCGATAGATTCCTAAGGCTTCGCACTTTCACCACAGCTCCCATCTCGGGCGGGTGGGCAGGGTGCAAGCAAGGTTGTGGCTCCTGAGCAATAATTAACAGCTGTTCAAAACAAAAGATACCGCCTGAACTCAAGGAACGACATGATGTTCAACTGGAAGGGGATCAGGGTGTGGAGTGATTCCCTTATGCAGAGTATCCCTGCAACGTTCCCAACCGACAACCAACCAACCAACCAACCAACCAACCAAACCAACCAACAAACCAACCAACAAAAAAACAAGCAGACAGACAGAGAGGTAGACCAGCAAACGGACAGGCAGACAGACAGACAGACAGAGACAGAGACAGAGACAGAGACAGAGGCAGAGGCAGAGGCAGAGACAGACAGACAGACAGACACAGGCAGGCAGGCAGGCGGACAGACAGACACAGACAAACAAACAAGTAAAGACACTCTCCCTCTCTCGCTTCCTTTCACTCAGTCTTCAACTCACTCACTCCCTTGTCTTTTCTCGTAGTCGTGCTCTCTTGGCCTTTCTTTGCCTACTTATCTCTCCCTCTCTCTCTCTCTCTCGCAGTCTTTCTCTTTAGTACTCACACACCGCACACACACATGAAAGCACAAAGGAAAATTATAATGATTGCACAGTAACATGCAAACCAACACATATGCCTGAGTGATCATATATGTACACACAATCGACATGTCACATATACATGACACGCGCACTCATGCAACAAGTACGCATGTGCATGTGGATGCCTGCACGGATACACGCATCACGCATTGGATCTACACGACGTCATATACTGCATGTTGTAGATCCTTGTCTGCAGGGCCAACGAACAAATGTCCTTTTAACTAATGTTTCAACTTCTTTACTATGTTTGTGATGTGTTGTTGTTTGTAGCTGCTGTGGTTGTTGTTGCTGCCTGCTGGACTTCTTAGTTGAATGCTTTGCGCTCTTAAAATGTCCTCGCGGGTTTTTTGTATCCTTAATTTGCGTTGGCCTTTTGGTTCGCAGTTTATACCTGTATTTGGCCCGTAGTCCTTTGCAGTAGTTTCACTCTTGGCATGCTCTATGTACAGCCTATTGAACCTGCGCGGTGTTTTTCCGCAAGGGGAGTTACCCTAAGGTCCTTGTTCTTTGCCAGTGGCAGGACACATTGCGTGAACTTGTGCTGATTTGAATGATTGTTCAGCCGCGCCTCGCATCTTTACATAGCGATAGCGCCATCTTGAGCGCAGAACTGCCCAAAGGTTACCAAGATGAGGTTTGTTTGGATTTTTTCATGCTTCCCGAGCCGCGTGTGGACTTTGAATCTCTTGGAAATATGTGCAGGTCTTTTACAAAGCTACCAATCAAATGCGTGTTGTTTTACCTTTTGTGTCTTTTCTTTTGAGCGCCCACATGGTGACCAAAGAGGAGAATGTACAGCTGCGCCGCCTGTCCTGATAGAATTGTAAAATTCAACATGTTGATTGGTGGGACTACCTGAGGTGGCAGAGGGTGTGCAAATTCTCACATGTACAGATGCGCAGTGCACTGTAGTCGGTACATTAATTATGACAAATTCTTGTGTGGTCACTTTGCCTGTCCGGAAACCCTTGTGAAACAGACCGTGCTGTTCCAGGAAAAATTCCCTCAGCCACACAAAATCTGCCAGGCATCTCTTTCTTGGTATGGTCTGCGAGTCTGTGAGTCTGTGCCAGGATTGAAATGCAGCAAGCGTAAAGTCAAAAAATCAGCAAATCATTGGACATGTGATGTGGGAAAAAAAGGCGGGAAAAAAGAAACAAAGGGACAAAATGCATCAAACCGAGGATGGGCAAGCAGATGGTGAGAGAACAATAGCAAAAAGGGAGGGGCGAAGAAGACAGGTGAAACCCAACAAGAAAAACGGATGGAAAAAAACCAAGACTATCGACTATACTATAGTGAGTATATAATTGGTTGATATATGATATGGTTGACTGATTGTGATGGAAAAAAGATGAGACTGCCTGGGCTCACACGCACGAATGGGTGAGTCAGTGATTCAGTGTATCATTTGGACTCTATGGACACCCTGTGAAAACCAAGCCTTTCTAACGCAAGCGGATTTGCTTGAATCAAGCAGTAAGGCCTTGACTCGGTGACAGGTTTTGTATGAAGGGTCTCCTCATTCTCGTTTTCGCTGTCAGGGAAGGCCGCCTGCTGGAGAAAACGTCTTTGGTGATGCCGCTGCTTCGTCTCATCAAACCCAATACTAATTGTCACAGAATTGGAACGCCGGTCTGACTGCGGAGGCGAAGTCATCGCTTTTGCAAAAGACCTGCACGGTGAATGGGGGAATCTGGTTTGGAGCTTTTGCAAGAAATACTTCGCGTTTCAATTTCGACAAGGGTACACGAAACCTGTCATGGTTTGACTTCCTCGCATTCCATTTGCTTTTCGCGGCGTGCCACCGTGGCACAATACAGTCTGAAGGTTTTTGGCGCAAACCAAATCATGGTAGGGCCTGCATTGGGCTTTGAGGTATGCAGCTGCAACAAACAGTCTGGATCGAGCGCCCATCTGATCGTCTGACTTGGACTCGCTGATGTAGGCACCTGCCTTTTGATGCAGCCTGCTGAAAGCAGACGCCAGCAGGGATGAAGTCTTGACACGCCCACCTGGAGAGTGGATGAAAGATTTTGAGAGTTGCCACTCCCGCTACGAATAGGGTGAAAGAAAGCCTAAGGAGCAATTGAAAAAGGATCAAGGGCAACAGGTCC